GTTGGCTGGCGAAGAATCCGAAGCCTCCCGATGTGGGTGCAGGCTTGCCAAAGAGGCTTGGAGAGGCCGAGGTGGCGAGAGCCGTTTCTGAGATTGAGGTGTCCGACGGTGTGCCTGGGGTTGGGGGCTTGGACTTGCCGAAGAGACTGAAAGTAGGTGTAGCAGGAGTGGTCGAGGGAGGTATCGCAGGAGCAAGGATGGGGGTCGGCGGTGTCGCTGGGGTAGAAGGTACTGAGTCTGGCTTTTTGGGACCAAAGGCCGACAGAAGGGGTGGAGTTTGCGGTCTGGGAGGTTTGCCCCCGGCTGCTTCATCATCTTCACCTTTAACTGGTAACTCTCTGGGAACAGGAAGGGGGGAATAACGGGGTTGAGGTGAACGAGGAGGTTTTACAGGTGACGCTTCGTCATCACTCGCAAGAGACACAGGGACGTTAGCCAGCGGCGAGCTACGGGTTGGACGTGTGCTGGGTCTTCCTAGGCCTAGGCTAAACGGTGTGGAAGGCGTGGCAGCGGGAATTGGGGCCGACGCTGGTCGAGCCAAAGGTACGGCGGGCTCTTTGGTGGGTGTCCCGGGAGGTGTCGTGCTTTCTTCTCTGGCTGCCGAGGGTGCTGGCTCTGGTGTGGGAGAGGGTGTGACCCTGATTTTTGGAATCTCGGGTTGGGGAGTCGCTGACGGAGAACGGGATTCGGGTAACGGCACTACGGTTGGCTCTCGACTCGCAGACACTGGCACCTTCTCTTCCTCTTCCTCCTCTTCCTCCTCAGGGACATCTGAAAGTTGCGACGATTCTTCGCTTTCAGACACATAGCCTTCCTCTTCTTCTTCCTCTTCTTCTGAACCCTCTTCAGATAAGAAATCATCGTCATAATCAGCCCCATCTGCATCTTCGCTGCCGGAGCGAACACCATGTTCATCTGATTCTTCTTTCTCCACTTCAGCAAAGGAGCTTGCGTCGGATAGCAATGACAGATTCCCGAACGACGGCTCTTCAGACAACGGCTCAGCCTTCTCCACCCCTTTGCCTTTCTCTTCGCGGGTAGCTAAAAAAAAAAAAAAAGGATGAGCAAACCAACGAATAGAAGAGAAACGAATATGACCCACGTGGTGTCGATGGTTCTTTCTTCTTTTCTTCCGCCTCTTTCTGAGGAGGTGTAAAAACAGAAACAGGGACATATTTAGAGATAGCAGGAAACGCCGAAACCACTTGCTTCTCCTCCTCCTTTCGCACCTCCACAACGGCGCCCGTTTTCGGCTTGACTGGATCAGTAGTATCGCCATCGCCCGTCTTCAACAACTCGCCAAACGACTTCTTCGGTCCCGCAAACGATCCAAATCCAGCCGAGGTGCCACTGAACGCTCCAAACCCTCCGACGGCAGGTACCTTGGTCGGAGTGGGCGCCGGAGCTGCAGGCACGAAAGCCGCGCGAGCACCGCCTAGGGACGAGGATGATCCAAACATGGGCGGACCCGCAGCAGCTGGGGCCTTTGCACTTGGTGGGGTGGTCAGAGCATTCGCAAACGCGGAGACAGAGGGAGTCTTGGGCTCTGTGGGAGCTTTGAAGAACGGGGACGATGCGGGAGTCTTGTCACCGCCAAATGCACCGAAGCCGCTGGCGGGCCTAAATACTGAAGGCGAGGTTTGTATATTCCCAAATGCACCTGCGCCAGGTGCAGCGACGTTGCCGAATGGAGAGGTGACGGGAGTAGTTGAAGGCTGGAATGGCGACAGTGCAGGCGGGCTCTCATCGGAGGTAATGGCAGTTCTCCCAAGCCGAGGCGTAGCTTCGGGTGAGGATGGTGGCGAGCCCATGAGTGCCGCGGGCTTGGGAGTCTCAAACGGTGATCTCGCACGCACGCCAGGTTGAGGGCCGAACGGCGATACCCCGAAACCAGGGCCGGTGCCTCCGCCAGGTGCAAAAGGCGACGTTGCCTGTGGCGCGCTAGGCGCGAAGGGTGATGTCGTCGTTGGCTGCTGCGGTGCAGCCCTACCGAACGCCCCGAACCCTCCGTCGGTTGCAGACGTCGGCTGCTTCGGAGGCTCCTGCGTCGTGGCTGTACCGAAAGCCGAGGGGGATGAAGCGAAAGCACCAAAACCCCCGGTCGGAGGGGATGTCGACTTTGGAGGGGACTCAAGTGCGGTCCTGAATGCGGACCCTGCATTCCCTGGCTGTTGCGCTGCTGCAGCACCTGAGAGAGAGGTGACTGGAGAAGATGCGAATGCGCCAAACCCTCCGCCTATCGCGCCTGTTGTTGTCGTTGCAGGCGGGACCGCGGGTTTGCCGAAGGTCGACTGGCCGAATGCAGACTGGCCAAATCCGGAAGTTCCAAACGCAGATTGACCAAAGGCAGAGGCCGGTTTACTGCTGGTGCCGAATGTAGAAGTCGAAGGCTGAGCACTCGGTGGCTTCTGCTCCGTCGTCGTACTAGTGGCGGGTGATGTTTGGGATGATGAAAAGGCGCTGAATGCTCCAAACCCCGTTGCAGGCCTGATTGGTCCTCCACCAAAGGAGGACGTCGTGGTCGTGGACGGTGCTGTAGGCTGCGCGGAGCCAAAGATACCTCCAGACTTCGCTGGCTTGGAAGGATCGTTGGGTTCCCCGAGACCCATCCCACCGAACGAGGGTGTAGCGTCTGACATGGACGCTTCGCGTGACATATCCGGTGCGGGTGCAGGCGGAGGCGGAGAACTGGGCGCTGGAGCTCCAAATCCAAAGCTCGCCTGCCCAAAGGCATTCTTGTTACCACCGGTCGCCGCGAGTCCACCAAAGGCGTTGCCACCAAACGCATTACTTGTTGGTTGTGTCGATGCAAACGCACCGCCGCGGAAAGCGTTCGTTGATGTGCCTCCTCCTCCGAATGCCCCGCTCCCAAAAGCACCAGTTGTTGTGCCCCCTCCAAACGCACTCGGGGCGCCTCCGCCTCCAAACGCCGAGGTCGTGGCGGGCTGTCCAAACGCAGCAGTCGGTTGAGGCTGCCCAAACGCCGACGTAGGTGCACCTCCACCAAATGCAGACGCTGAAGAAGGCTGACCAAAGGCCGACGTGCCTCCAGCCGGAGCAGCCTGCCCGAATGTAGGACTCGTTTGCGGCTGGCCAAAAGCTGACGTCCCGAAGGTAGACGTTGTTTGCTGCTGGCCAAACGCAGAAGGCTTCCCAAATGCAGAGGGTTGGCCAAACGACGACTGCCCGAACGCTGACGGGCCACTTGCTTGCCCGAACGCTGACGGGCTACTTGCTTGCCCGAACGCGGGCTGGCCAAAGGCGGTTTGCTGGGCTGGTGGCGTTGTTCCAGGGCCCGCAGTGACCGCTGCAGGGGCAGCTGGCTGGATAAATGCGGATGCAGCCTCAGTAGGTGTAGGAGCCGCCGCAGACTGGGGGTTTATCATTCCAGGGTAGGGTTTCGTGTGCTCCATGTACCATCCTTGCACCGTCCCATCATTCAGGTAGGCGTACATGATCGGTGTCATCGTCTCCACATCCGTCAAATCCGCCTGGAGACCGAGAAGCACCGTGTCCTCCATATTGCTGTCTAGAGGTAGGGAGAGCGGGTTTTCCTGGGACTGTTGGTACCACTGCGTTCCGATACTCCCGAGAATCTCCAGGTCGATGGAGGCTTTGTCCCCTACTACCACAAGGGATTTAGGCTCGGCGGCACCTGCATCTTCATCCCACTTCGGGAGGACAACAGTGTAGGATTGGTGGCCTCGCTCTGGCAGTGGAAATGGATAGGTGGGAGCGTAATATGTTGCAGTAGGCGCCTTTGTATCGACACAGATGATGTGCTGGATTGGGTCGGTCGTTCCATATGAGGGCGCATAACTGGTCCGGAAGGTATGTCCCGGGGACAGCCATTCGAGGGAGATGAGGGGCGGCAGGGCCGTCGGGGGTACGTGTTTGTGTATGGAGCTTTTGTTGGTGAGAGGATAGGTCATTATGTGGCCTCCCTGTAGCCCAATCGCAATATGTTTTCCTTTGGGTGACCAAGCGACTGGAAAAAGTGTGAATACGGAGCTGGGTAGACATGAAAACAGCACGTACCTGCAGCAGGCGTATAGTTGACATCCATGTCACCCGCAATCCACCCTCCTTGCGTCTCCAGACTCGAATTGTACAGTACCACGGTCCTATTCGAATGAACAACTGCGACGAGGTCGACGAGATTTGGCTCTGTTCCCGGATTCGGGACAATGTGGCGTATTGGACCCGTGTCTGGAGGAAGCATATGTAAGGGAGCTATGGCGTCGGATCCTTCTGTAAAAAGTGCGGCCGTGTCGTACACCAGCAGGCCACCATGTTCAAACGACATGAACAGGCGTGTATCGTTTGTAGCGAATGCGAGGATGCTAGGCTTCTGCGACTGCAATGCCACTTTGCGTTTCGGCGTATAGGTCCCCTCACTGTCTTTCGCGTTTTTGAATGAGGTGCGTAGGTCGGCAAGAGGTGAACATATCAGAGCTGAGAGTAGAGTTAGACATCGAACAAGCTTCGGAGTATATCAAAACTCACCATAAGACCCATCATCCTGTACCGTTATAGCTGCGAACCAGCCCTTTGAGTTGGCAACCGCGAGATGATTATAAAACGTAGAAGGGTCGGCATCGAATCGTTTTGTCGACAACTTCACGCGCTCCTGCTTGTTGAGCAAACGAAATGTAGGGTACTGCAAGGCCCATGGGTAATAGTAAGTACATTTCAGTCTGCAGAGCGAAGTGGAACGCACATTGAACCCGTCCGATGGACAATCCTTCGGTGTTGGGTCAATATTGACCTGGGCCGGTTGGGGAGGAACCAGACGCGTAAAGTGGTCAATCTTCATGGTAAGGGTTCGCGCCTATCGTAGACACCCAGCAAGCAACGCTCGGCGTAAATCTGACGGTGATCCTGGCAGTCCAGGACAGAGTTATGTAGGGTGGCACAAGTGGCCGGGGCAAGTCAATTCTAAACCCCATTAGTCAGCCATGGCAAAAAATCATCACTGTCCACGATCGCCATTGTGCATAGCCTCCTTGGCTCAGTTGGCTAGAGCGCAGGTCTCATAGAGATATGACGCATCTTTGGATGTGCAATCCTGAGGTCGCAAGTTCGAGCCTTGCAGGGGGCATCGCAGTTAGAGCATAACTCGTTTTTATTTTTACCTCTCAGGACTGTCGAGTACACCGCAGCTGGCATCATCACCTGGGCCAGTCACCACACCCGTCTGATCCCGTTTTACTCCCTTCGCCTTCGGCCTCCTGCCTATCGGCGCTGACCCTCTACGCCAAGGCATCCTCGTTACGCAGCACGACGGCTCCGGATGCCCAAAGCTTGATGATGAGGCTTGCCAATGCCTGTTTCGATCTCAGCCAAGAGCTTCACGTGTCATCGACTCGGACTCTTCTCTGAGTTCTCATCCTACATTATCCCGGTGTGATAAGGGGATGACAATGCTCTGCACACACATATGCTGATAGCCACCATCTCCATCTGCAGCCGTCTGCCTATCACGTACCTCGAACCTATCCGACGCGCATGTCCACTCAAGAATGCTCAAAGTAAAGACTATCCTCGTACTCCGGCCGTGCGATCCTCTGCGCACCTCGCGACCTTTGAAAACCACGGCTTTACGGCACCGTAGGGCTATCCAGGAACTTCTCACCTGCCGAGTTCTATCTATGTCACGGACCATTTGAACCCCCCAAAATTTGGACATCTGCAATCGGGACCTGTCACATGGCAATCCATGCATTAACGACGAGGAATTTAGGTCCGCAGCCTGAGCCAGATGTATGCCGAAAATATAGAGTTTCCTGCTGCGCGGGGGGATGCCAAGAATGATCAAATAATGAAGTCCATTACACTCTGCTTATCACATATCTCGAACTGTCGCGCCCAAGTCGCGTCAGCGCCACTTTCGAGATGGTTCAACGTAAAAGACTGTTCTTATACAACGGCCAAGCGAACCTCTACGATCATCGTGACATCAAGACAGATGGCTTTCCGGCATGTACGAGAACCTTTTATCTGTTGAAGGCTATTTATGTTCTCCAACCGCTCTGAACTCAGCTTCAACACTTCAAGTTGGACATCTGCCATCCAGTCCTTTCATATGATGGATCCTCGAGACTCGCATGCCAATTGGTGGACTGGGAATTATGTGGGTGTTGCGATCATCCAGGATGCTTTGGAATACGTAGGACACAGTCCAGCGTGGGTCGAATTCCACTCATCGATCAGTGAGGCGTCCTCGCATTATCTACTATGCCCCTCCAACGTATGATAACATCAAGTACGCACCGACTCCTAGCACAAGTGCGAAAGACGGAATAGGTGTGACACGCAGCCACAGCCAATCTTTTTTCGGTCTTGTCTGCATTCTTCCCAGACGAATTCTGATAGTAGTAACGCGACGACAAGCTCATCACGCTTATAATCGCTGTCGTAATCGTATGGCCAATGTTATCACCGTTCAATGTCCAAACGTTCGTCAGCGCCTTCTGACAATCGAATGTCAGCTCTCTGGCACTTGACACTATGCTCAACCATAAAGACAAGTCACAGCTGGTCTTCGACGCCGCCACACACTTGCAGCGCGTTTCAGGACCATGGCCTCCCCCCATCCCCCAATCCAACTGGACAGCAAGTTGGGAGCGGCATTTCTGGGGAACCTGATCGCAGCAATGTAAGTCCTTATCCACCAAGAATATTCTGTGCTACCACCGACGCTCCTCGACCAGCTTCTATGGAATCACTTGCGTACAGAGCTACATGTATTTCAGAAACAGCGGGAAAGATCGGCAGTGGTTCAGGATGGTGGTACGTGCCACTTCCATCGTCGAAGCTCTCTTTGTTCACTAAAGTGCTCTATGAATAGATCTTTTCGCTGTGGTACGCAGCCACACTGGCAGAAGTGCTTTTCTGGAAAGCATAGAACTCTTAATGAGAATTTAGGTTCTTAGACACGTTGCACCTTGCATTCATTACTCACGGTTTGTATTTTTACCTGGTCTCGAGCTTCGGCAACCTGCTGGCCCTCGTATCACCGACGTGGTACGTGTTTTGGATCTCTCAAATGCTTCCTCCGTCAATTCCTGACCTTGATCTGTAGGAGCATCCTCGTATGTCAGTCATCCCTGTAGGCGACCTAATCGTAATGACTTGTTCGACAGTCACAGATCTATCTTACGGTATGAGTACATCTGATCGTCTGTATATTCTAAACTCATTATCCCGTAGTGTATCAGTGATACTATCATAAGATGGTATGCCATATGAATATCTCTTATGTGCTTTCATTTCTAACATCCCAGTCAGTATTTTTGGTCGTCGCGTTTGGATGAGTGAGCCCTTCGGTTTTTTCCTAGTTATCGTGCACTCAATGAGTATAGTGGCGGGGAGAAGCAAAGTCCTTGCTCTGTGCATTGTGAGTCGCCCTGTTTTCCCGGCATTTATAAGCGAATCAACAAATACTGTTATCAGGCTACGACCTCGCTGTTAACTTTCGGTGAGCTTCTCTGCTGATGGTCAAGTATAATTGGTTTTATTCGTGCTGTACAGTCTCGGGTTTTGGTGAGCATCATTAGCAGTCATGGCGCAGATCGGTGTATTTATTGAGCTTTTCTCAGCTTTCGCTTCGCGAGCGTTTGTATTCATTACATTACGTAGGAACACACTTTAGTTACTAACTATCCATGTGTAGATTTGCCGTCGGGACCTTCGTGGGCTTTGCGAAGATATCGGTGGGTCCGCAGCGATAGCTTGACTCATGACATACTCACTCTCTTTTGTAGTATTTTCTGTATACCGCCTTGGGAAGTGGCGTTGCGGCGGATCTTCTGATTGCTGGATCCCTGTGCTTGACTCTGTTGAAAAGCAGAACAGGATTTAGAAAGTATACGACTTACTTCCCGTCGCTGTGTATCTCTAGTTTTCTGACCCCAGTTTGGAAGGACCGACTCCATCGTCAACATACTGATCATGTATGCCATTAACACGAGTGAGTATTCCTTCAATTTCTTCCGAAAGAATGTACATATTTATCGTGCTACTAGGCGCGCTCACGACGTGTGTACTCACCTACTGCCTATGAACGGAGCAACTTTATGTTAACACGTCCAATCAGTATCTGCTCTATCGCTTGCTTTATCACCTACACCATCTGGCCAAACGAATTCACATTCATCGGAATCTACTTCGCTCTCCCTAAACGTGATTCTTTTTGTTCTCCCTAGAACACCTTCCTGATCTTATATTGCCCTGAGCAGTGTATCTCAACAGTCTACTCGCGACACTCAATAGTAGGGAGACCTTGTCGGAAAAAATCAGTGGAGTCTCCGATATCAACATGACGAATATAACCAGTACAAATTACTCGACCAAAGGGTCTCACAGTAGCACGGGGCAGGTACGTAACCCAGTCGCCTCCATCCCTGCGCCACGCCCTAACGACAGCTTGTAGTCTGTCGTTGTCAATATCAACAAGGAAGTCGTAGTTGAGAATTTTGAGTTCGGCAGTTCGAATAAGCGTATGCAGCGCGACATTCCTTAAAATCTCGTTTCATTTGGTAGCAATAGGATGTACATTACGGTTTTACTTTAGATGCATGTATACTATCATTAGACCTCCAAGGGACGGGCGATTCGGACGAACTTGATAATGGGGGCACTTCAGACTGATGCCGCAAGAATGGCCGGAACGTGAAGGCCTGAAGGCTGATCTAGGTCGATGTCCTACAGGCAGTCATATGCAACAGTGTACGGGTGGAGAATCACATCGATCTGGCTACGAAAGTTGCAAATCCTGACGAATCAATGCTGAGTCCGTCGCAAAGATTTCGGGTTATTTCGCCTCAACGTCGTGGACTCGGGGTGCCCGCTTGTCACGGTCGAGGCTATAATCAAAGGCATTTTCTAGGGTGGTCATCATTGTCGTCGTTGTGGAGCGGAGATTGAGGTCGGCAAATTGTGTGCGGAGCTGTGGCGGAGCTCGAGTTGCAACATTGAGCCGTGGCCTGCCGTGGCACTGGCCATAGAAACTCACAGTCACACCACCACGCGAAGTTGCTGGCAGAGCGCTGAACAGTGAACGTCTGGTGAACGTTTGAACACTGACGGCGGCAGACAGCGGCGCTCGTGCCAATGTATTACCAAGTATTACCATTCACCGCGCGTGCCTCGGCGACTAGTGCCCAAGTGGCAATATCAACGTGTTCAGCTTGTCCTGACTGGGGTGTAAAAGCAACTATAGATCTTAAAACAGGCAATTCCTGGACTGGTTCTGGCTCTCTCCCCGCGATGTGGGCACAGACTCGCTGGAATCTTGCGGATATACGTAAAACTCTTCTGGGGGAGAGCAAAGGTGAGTTTCTTGTATATGGAGGCCACCATAGTAGGATACTTGGATATAGGCGTGGCGTAGGTTTCCAGGGAAAGCTCACGCTTTTCGCCGTTCTAGACTAGCTTACGACAGTTATCGGGACATTATCATCTGGCCGCGTCCGTCGGAGAAGTAGCGGATGCTGCCTCGAGGTTCGACAGCACTTGCCTTGGCTGTGACCTGATGGTAATATGACTTAAAGCCCTTCCAATCCCGCGGGCAGCTCATTGTCCCTACCATGCGACCTTCCATGAAGTTTGTCTAACCTCTAGTGGTGACTCGGAATTCAAGTATCAACAACCACAGCCCTTAGCTTCCCTCGAAACTTTCCTCAATGCTGGACAATGCCGATGCTTCTGCTCAAAAACAGATGTCAGTTATTATCCATCTTCAATCCATCTTTCCTCCATACGCTTTAAAACTAACTGCCCGTCGCTGTATTTATCCAGAACCCATATCATCTACACAAATCTAATATCCTGTGGTAAAGCGCTTGGTGCACTCCCATCCCTAAATATTTTGACATATACACCGGCGCAGTCATCCTCTACTATGATTACGCGTTAACCCTGTCGTTAGAAGTCGATCGCTTCTGGTCAAGATCTTTCACATGGGCATCCTGCTTTTTCTACATCAACCGCTACATTACGCTGTTTGGCCATATCCCTATTCTATTCCAGGATACCTGGGATGGAAAGCGGCCCAACACTGAAGTGGTGAGCAAGATACTCATGTTTATGTTAACGTCG